AATTTACTTGACATGCTTTAGCAAAAAATATAGAATGAATAAATATGGTAAAACACGAATACTTGTTAAATTGAGATGATTGATCATTGTGGATTTATTATACTGTCTTCTTTGCTTTTCTCATACTTGAAATGCCTACTAGTAAAAAGTAAAACAAATACACCCAACATTTATTAATTGCCTTCCACATTGTAGGTTCTGTTTTATGGGCTTGTGAACATCAGCAAATAGAATAGATCAAAGTCACACTGTAGTGGAGAAAGACAAACAATAAATAATAAAGAAATAAGAACAGCATATTGTATGTGAGAGGTTCTAAGTGCTATGGAAAAATAGAGCAGGATGGGAAGACTGAGCGTGCAAGGGCGGGGAGCAAGTACAATTTTAAACACTGTGGTGAAGGTCAGCTTCACCGAGGTGACAGCTGAACAAAGACTTGAAGGACATGAGGAAAGGTTTCATATATGTGTCTGGAAAGAGCATTGGAGGCAGAGGAAACAAGTGCAAAGACATGGTGTATCTGGTGCGTTCACATTCTAGAAACAGCAAAGAGGCCAGTGCGAGTGAAGCAGGGTGAGCCAGCAGGAGAGCAGTAAGATAACCAGGAAAGTGATGGGGGGCCAGACCACACAGGGCCTGGTGGGCCACTGCAAGAAATTTGGCTTTTATGAGAATGAAATGGGGAGTCATCAAAGTTTTTGATCAGAGGGATGATATCTGAATTTTGTTTTTAAAGGGTCATTATGGCATCTGGGTTGAGAAGGGACAGCAGGGAAAACAAGGATGGAAGCAAGGAGACAAGAGTCAACTGTAGTAATCCATGAGACTGATGATGGTCCTTGAGTCAGCATTGTACAACTCAGTGTGAAAAGTAAAACTATAAATGTTCTGCCCTGGCTGGTTTGCTCTGTGGTTAGAGCATCGGCCTGAGGATCAAAGGGTCATGGGTTTGATTCCAGTCAAGGGTAGGCACCTGGGTTGCAGGTTTGATCCCCAGCCTGGGTCAAGGTTGTTCAGGAGGCACCAATCGATTTGTCTCTCTCACACTGATGTTTCTCTCTCTCTCTCTCTCCCTCCCCCCCACCCCCTCCCTCCCTTCCACTCTCTCTGAAAATCAATGAAAAATTATCTTTGGGTGAGGATTAATAAAACAACAACAAAAACCTATAAATGTTCTAAGAGAAAACATATGGAAAAACTACACGGCCTTGGTATAGGCAAAGCTTTGTGTCCTTAGACAAGACACGAAGGAATTAATCATAAATAAAAAATCTGATAAATTTTACTTCATCAAAAATTTAAAAGTTCAGTCCTGACCAGTTTGGCTCAGTGGTTAGGAAGTTGGCCCGTGGACTGAAAGGCCTGGGGTTCAATGTCCAGTCAAAGGCACATACCTGGGTTGCAGGTTTGATCACGGGCCCAGCTGGTGTCATGTGGGAGGCAACCAATCGATGTGTCTTTCTCACATCAATGCTTCTCTCTCTCTCTCTCTCTCTCTCTCTCTCTCTCTCTCTCTCTCTCTCTTCCCCTCCCTCCCTTCCACTCTATCTAAAAATCAATGGAAAAATATCCTCAGGCAAGGATTAACAAAAAAAAATCAGAAAAAAAAGTCATTAAGAAAGTAAAAAGGCAAACTACAAACTGGGAGAAAATATTTACAGTACCTATATCTGACAAAAGATTCATATTCAGAGTCCTACAAGTCACCAATAAGTTTAACAAAACTATAAATATAAATATATTTGCCTATATATATGCAAAAAAGTAAACCATTATTTCATAAACAAGATATTCAAATGGCCAATAAACTTCTGAAAATGCGCATACTCTACATCGTTTGTCATAAGAAAAATTCAAATACTGCAATAAGATACCACACAGATCCACCAGAATGACTAATTTTTAAAGGACTGAACTCCATATTCCTTTTAAAGTTGTATAGCCCTTTCATTCACAGGGGGACTTAGGGGACTGAGGAGACAAGGTGGTGATGCAGAAGGGAAGCCTGGCCTGCCCCATTAATAATATGTATTAGCAAGAATGTGGAGTAACTGAAATTATATTACAATGTTTGTGGGGGTACTAATTGGTTTAAGTGCTTTGGAAAACTTTGGCAGTTTTTTATAAACACGCAGTTACCTTATAACCCAGCAGTTTCACTCCCTGATATATACTCAAGAGAAATGCATATGTCAGCAAAAAGGAAACTTATAATAGTAGCTTTACTAGAGCATCTTTATTTACAGTATCCTAAATCAGGAGACAACCTGCTTGTCCATCAACAAAATGAGTAAAAACTATGGCTGTTTACAGCAGAATGCTGCTCGGCCATGAAAACCAAGTACTTATGCATGCAACGACGTGGACGAATCCAAAAACCACGTGGGTGAAAGCACACGACAAAAACAGCGCATACTGTATTATTCCCTTTATATGAAATTGAAGAATAGACAAAACTGATTTTTGATGAGAGAAAGTAGATCGGTTGTCTTTGAGTTGGGGTGATTAGAAAGGGGCACAAGGCCCTGGCCGGTTTGGCTCAGCGGTTAGAGCATCCACCTGCGGTCCGGAGAAAGGGGCACAAGGAAACTTTCTGAGGTGATATATTTTGACCTGAGTATTGGTTACACTGGCGTATACACTTGTAAAAAACCAGGTATGTGCGTGTTTCTGTTTATAAATTACACCTTAACAAAATACTGAAAGCATAACAAGTAGTGGTTCCATACTGCCTTTAAAGTTGTCCAGCAATTCAGTCAAGTGGTTTGCAGCACCTGTTTGACCAGGCATAGAAGCTAGAGGAGCCGAGGGTGCAGAAGGGAGGCCACCCCTTCCGCATCCAGGGAAGAAAACTGAGGGGTGTAATGTCTCCAAAGCCAAGTGAGAAAAACAGTTTAATGAGGAGGGAGTGAGCAACTGTGTGAAATGCTGCCAGGAGGTCAAGTAGAGGGTGACTAAGGACTGACACTGAATTTGACAATGGAGAGGTCCGTTACTGGGGACCTTGACAAAAAAAGTGTCAGAGAGGTAGTAGAGGTGAAGCTTTATTAGGTTTAAAAGATAATGAGAGGAGCCAAGAGACATATGAAAAAATGCTCAATGTCACTAATCATCAGAGAGATGCAAATTAAAACAACTATGAGGTATCGCCTCACACCTGTCAGAATGGCCGCCATCAACAAATTATTAAACAAGTGTTGGCGAGGGTGTGGAGAAAAGGGGACTCTAGTACACTGCTGCTGCTGGGAATGCAGACTGGTGCAGCCACTGTGGAAAACTATATGGTGCTTCTTCAAAATATTAAAAATTGAACTGCCATTTGACCCAGTGATCCCACTTCTAGGAATATGCCCTAAGAAGTCTGAAACACCAATCAGAAAGAATATATGTACCCCCATGTTCATAGCAGCACTATTTACAATTGCTTAGATCTGGAACTAGCCCAGTGTCCATCAGTAGATGAGTGGATAAAAAAGCTGTGGTACATATACACAATGGAGTACTATGCAGCTGTAAGAAAGAAAGATCTCTTACCCTTTGAGATGACATGGAGGGATCTGAAGAGTATTATGCTAAATGAAATAGGCCAATCAGAGAAAGACAAATATCCCATGATCTCACTTATTTGTGGAATATAATGAATAAAATAGGCTGATAAACAAAACAGATCCAGAGACATAGAAGTAGGGATCAGACTGACAAATCTCAGAGGGGTGGGGTGTGGGAAGAGATAAACCAAAGAACTTATATGCATATACACATAACCAATGGATATAGACAACAATACTGTGAAGTGGGGGGGGGGGGGGTGCGGGGAGGAGGGTGTCAATAGGGGAAAAAGGAGAAACATCTGTAACAAAAGCAAATTAATTTTTTAAAAAAAGGGAATGGGAAGAGAGGAATAAGATATGGTGGATACAGACAACCCTTCCAATGATCTGACTGTTCAGTACTGTGTTCTTGGTGCCAAGTATAAGATTAGGTATATATTTAAGAGATGTTCAAAAATATTTATGTTGAAAAAAATTTATGTTGAATGTTTTGATTACAGGTATAATACTAAATCCATTCTAATTTATTTAAAACATCACTCAAGCCTGGCTGGTATGGCTCGGTGGACTGAGAGTCATCCCATGGACTGAGAGGTCTCAGTTTGGTTCCAGGTCAGGGCACATGACCAAGTTGCAGGCTCGATCACCGATGGGGGGCGTGCAGGAGGCAGTCAATCAATGTTTCTCTCTCACATTAATATTTCTACGTCTCTCCCCTCACGCCCCCCAAAAATATTAAAAAATAAAACATCTATCAAATATATGCAGGTTAGTAATTGATAGTAATAAGTTACTTATGACACATTTCATAGGGTAAGCATTTTCTTTTTTCCATTTTTTGTTCAGATAGAGTGGGAGGGAGAGAGAGGGAGAGAGAGAGAGAAGCATTGACGTGAAAGGGACACATCGAGTGGCTGCCACCCGCATGACCAACCAGGGCTGGGGACAAACTACAACGGAGGTACACGCCCTTAGTAGGAACCAAACCCGGGTCTTTCTGTACCGCAGACCGACGCTCTAACCGCTGAGCCAAACCAGCCAGGGCCATAGGGTAAGCATCTTTACCATACACTAAACATTTGTGTAGTCAATACTTTCCATAGCTGGTGACACCATACTAGTTACTATTGTTGGACCCAAAACATTTCTGTCTTGTTAGAACCTTGCTAAGAAGATTAAGTATTGAGTGATATAATTAATAGATTAAGAAAGAGAATTTTTGTAGGTAAGATTACATAGGCTAATCTAGTATCTCCTATAGGAAAAAAATTGCTTGCTATTTGTTTCAGCTACTCTGAAGCATGCTTTTGGTTTTTTGACAGGCAGGAAAAACACTCCTTTCTACAGAACAGACTCAGAGTAACTCCCTTTCACCCTTGACCCAGCCTTCCCAGAATGCTTGAGGACTAAGTGGGCGAGGATTTCAGCAAAGAGGCAAAGTCCCACGAGTGAGGACTGAGGAAGAGAACACAATCGGTAGGACTTAAGTGACAGTCCTGGTCAAAAAAGGGAGAGTAAGCTCTATCAGGAGAGGGACTACATCTATTTCCTCCACTAATATATCCTTAGTAACTAGCTCAATGCGTGGCACATGGTAGGCACTCAGAACATTAGAGACAAAATGGCTAAGAGCTTGGTCAGATGGGAACAATAAGGCTGAGATAGCCTTTAGAACAGCGGTTCTCAACCTGTGGGTCGCGATGCCTTTGGGGGTTGAACGACCCTTTCACAGGGGTCGCCTAAGACATAACAGTAGCAAAATTACAGTTATGAAGTGGCAAGGAAAATAATTTTATGGTTGGGGGTCACCACAACATGAGGAACTGTATTAAAGGGTCGCAGCATTAGGAAGGTTGAGAACCACTGCTTTAGAAGGATTTGAGACAGTCAATGGAAGTTGGGATGAACCACTTAGTTTATGGGATTTAAGGGCAGAGGTCAAGGCCCAGAAAAGTTAAATCTGTATTGGAGCTTCAGAGCTCCAGTGTTAGTTTCCAGGGGCTTTTGCTGCTCAGTCTCTAGTCCTTTTATTTAGAGATGCTCAGATCTGCCCTGAGGGACTAGGTGGGACCAGTTTGCATAAGCCTACTCATTCATGCTCTTGAGAGAGGGTTGAATCAAGTATAGGATGATTCTGTTCGGCCTCAGAAGTTTCTTTATTGGAATGGTCCTAATAATTGGACCAATGAACAAATTTTGATACATCACTAGGGCATTCCCAACAAACATTGAAGAAAAGTCACTCAAATTTAGGAGGCGAATTTTTAAACGCCCACTCCACCCACAGCTCCTGCTTGTTGGCACTAGATCATGTGGCCCTTAATTTTCACCTCACCTCTGCCATTACTGGTGGGACTCAGGTTAACAGCTGCTCTAAGCTAGCCCATCAGATTCCTTCCCCCAGGGATATGGAATTGGTGGGGGGGGAATCTCTGAGGACACGGCACAAAATTAATGCACCATCTTTTGGGATAAGAAATATTCTAAGCTCTCTATAGAAGCTGGTCAATAATTTTCCAAGATGAAATTCCTTTTAATATTATAAATTGACATAGATTTAGGATACTTATAGGCTATTCTTAAATTTTTTTGGTAATTGGCTCAACTGTAAAATCTAGTGAATGCAGCCTGGCTAACCAGCTCAGTGGTTAGAGCATTGGCCCCTGGACAGAGAGTCCCGGGTTTGGATCCCACTAAGGGCACGTACCTCAGTTGCAGTTTGTCCTGGCCCTGGTTGGGGTCGTGTGGGTGGTGACCACTCGATGTGTCTCTTTCACATTGATGTTTCTCTCTCTCTCTCTCTCTCTTTCTCCCTCCCTCTCTCCCTCCTGCCCTATCTGAAGATAAATGCAAAAATGTCCTCCGGTGAGATAAAAAAAAAAAAAAATCTAGTGAATGCCACGAATTATGGTTTAGTTGAGCTACAGAAGAGGGAAAAAATGATCTTTCCTTAGGATAAAACTTAGTACATTTCAGCCCTGGCCAGTGGTTAGAGCATAGGCCCATGGACCAATGAGTCACGGGTTCGATTAAGGTCAAGGGCACGAACCTTGGTTGTGGTTTGTCCCTGGCCCTGGTTGGGGTGGTGTGGGAGGCGGCCCCTTGATGTGTCCCTTTGGCATTGATGTTTCTCTTTCTATGTTTCTCTCCCTTCCACTCCATCTGAACAAAAGTGGAAAAATGTCCTCGGGTGAGGATTAAAATAACCCAAAAACTTAGTACATTCCAAAGAAGAAGATCCTTTAGGATAGCCATTCTTAAACTTTTTGGACCATCACTCACAGTAAGAAATAGATTTTACATTGCAATACATACACACACAATTGAAACAAAAGTTTCACAATGCTATACTAATCCTCTTTTTGTTTTTAATCCTCACCCGAGGATATTTTTCTATTTATCTTCAGATAGAATGGGAGACAGAGAGAGAGGAAGAGAGAGAGAAACATCCACACGAGAGAGACACATCGACTGGCTGCCTCCTGAACGAACCCCACCAGGGCCAAGGTGAACCGCAACTGAGGTGCGTGCCCTTGACTGGAATCAAACCCACAACTCACTGGTCGGTGGGCCAACGCTCTAACTACTGAGCCAAACCGGCCAAGGCTATACTAATCCCTAATATGTATGATACACCCTCCTAATCCTATTCCATTTTCTGTTTTAGAAATGCTGGTCACAACACACCAAATTGATTTCACAATTCACTAGTAAGTTGTGTTCTCGAGTTTGAATAGGTGTATGTCTTAGTTCACTTGGGTTGCTATAAAAAAATACCATGAACTGGGCAGCTTATAAACAATATAAATTTATTTCTCACAGTTCTACTGGCTGGGAAGTCCAAGAGCAAGGCACTGGGAGATTCGGTGTCTCCTGGGGGCCTGCTTTGTATAGACAGCTGTCTTTCACTGTAACTGCCATGGAAGAGGTGAGTGGTATTTCTTGTAAGAGCACTAATCCCATCCATGAGGACTCTGCCCTCATGGCCTAATCACCTCCCAAAGCCCCTACCTCCAAATACCATCACCTTGGGGATTTCAACACTGAATTTGGCGGGGGACACACACACACACACACACATAAACATTCAGTCCACTGTAGTGTAATAGGCAGGATAGTAGTTCAGTAGATCTGTCCCCAATAAATTTAAGCTATAAAAAGAGAAGTATCCAGCCCTGGCCGGTTTGGCTCAGCGGTTAGAGCGTCGGCCTGCGGTCCAGAGAGACCCGGGTTCGGTTCCCGCTAAGGGCGCGTACCTCGTTTGCAGTTTGTCCCCGGCCCTGGTTGGTTGTGCGGGTGGCAGCCACTCGATGTGTTCCTTTCACATCGATGTTTCTCTCTCTCTCTCTGTTCCTCTGTCTCCCTCCCACTCTACCTGAACAAAAAATGGAAAAATGTCCTCAGGTGAGGATAAAAAAAAAAAAAAGAGAAGTATCCAAAAGATTAAACACAATCCAAGAGATTAACCCAGTTTTATTGACAAAACGTTACATTATAATTCAAAAGAGAAGTAACAAAGCAATAAGAGCCTGGAGAAAACATCTACAAGGGGATATAAGAAACCCCCAAACCACAGACAGTTAAGATTAGATGCATCGCGTCTATTTTGAAAGAGATATATGTCATATTGAAGATCCTCAAAGGCTATAACAGGCCATGGCATTCTGGTAAATGTTGAATGAACCAAAAATAGTAGTGAAAACCACCCAGTATTTAACAAGACGAACAGATTTTATGATGCCAATAAAGCTAAAACATAGTGGAGGTAAAACAAGACATTGAATACCCCTCCCCCACATGTGGACCAGGAGACCAGAGGCCCTACTGGATGTGTCCTGAGTTAGGAGTGGGGTTTTGGCTTCTGAAAGCCACAGTCCTGCGGCTATGAGCAAGGGCTTGGGAGGCAGCTGCATACTAACCATGTGACTTTCACAAACACCTCTAAACATCTGTCTCCTCATGTGAATAATAAGAGTCACTGCATTGTGACTACATTGTGGTTCTCACACTAAATGATATAATGTATTAAAAGGTTTAGCAAAGTTCCTGGCACATATTAAACATTAAAAAAGAAAAGAAGAAGGAGAAGGAGAAGAAGAAGGAGAAGGAGAAGGAGAAGGAGAAGGAGAAGGAGAAGGAGAAGAGAAGGAGAAGGAGAAGGAGAAGGAGAAGAGAAGGAGAAGGAGAAGGAGAAGGAGAAGGAGAAGGAGAAGGAGAAGGAGAAGGAGAAGAAGAAGAAGAAGAAGAAGAAGAGAAGAAGAAGAAGAAGAAAAGAGAGAGCCAAGATAGGAAACCAAGAGGGTTCAGGACTCAAGGACTCAGTGCCTAACGAGTGGCAGCGCCCATGAACACCTCAGTTTGAGGGACTGCTATTCTGAAAAGACAAAACAAGCCTTTCAGGACATCTGGTCTTGTTCTAAACATCCATACCAAATGGTCCTTGATGTTTGGTCTTGTCCAAAATATCCATGCTTAAGACATTTTTGAGTTCAAATAACTTACAATGTTTATTTCTGTTTTGTGTTTATAGGATGAATACAGAAAAAGTACTATCATTTTCTTCGTCCAATAATTGTGTTGTGGCTATATTGTCAATAATAATTCTTCTTGCCCTGGCCAGGTGGCTCAGTGGGTTGGAGCATCGTCCCATGCACCAAAAGGTTGCAGGTTCAATACCCAGTTGGGGCTCATACAGGAGACAATCAATGGATGTTTCTCTTTCTCTCTCTTCCTTCCTTTCTCTCTACAAATGAACAAAAACATATCCTTGAGTGAGGATTTAAAAAAAAAAATAACCCTTTTGCCTTGGTACCCTAGCTGGTAATGGCACATGGGGTTAGGTAAGTGTTTCGGGGTTTGAATATTGCAAGAAAATGGGATTTATATGAACTATGGACCAAATGTTGCCATGGATGTTTTGGACAGGACCAAATGTCCGCTAATCCAAAACAACAACTGTCCACAATAACTAAGCACATGTTACTTTAGGTCTAAAGCTTGTGTTCTTAATTACTGTATTATCCCCTCTTAAGATTTTACTTGGGATATTACAGTCAATAAAGCTGAACACACAAAATATATATGAAAAAAAACTGAAAAATAGTTTTGTGAAATAATTTCATAGTTAAATACTATAGGTACTTATGTTTCAAAGAATTTTCACATTCTAACAAAACTTGCCTTCTATTAGGGCCTTTTTTTTTTTTTTTAAATCCTTACCTGAGGATATTTTCCCATTTATTTTCAGACAGAGAGGGAGGGAGAAATAGAGAGAGAGAGAAACATCAATGTCAGAGAGAGACATCGATTGGTTGCCTCCTGGCCAGGGCTGAGGACCGAACTGCAACCGAGGTACGTGCCCTCGACTGGAATTGAACCCATGACTCTTTGGTTCGCCGGCCAATGCTCTAACCCTGAGCCAAACCAGCCAGGGCTATTAGGGCCTTTTGAAAAACATTAACAACAAGCTCATGCCCTGTTCTTTCATCTGCTCTGTTCTCTTCACTTCAAAAGAAAACTGCATCTTATTCACCTAGAATCCACAGGCAGATAGTAGAGGTTCAATAAATGTTTACTTAGTAAACCCAAATGACTCAGAGAAACCATATTTCTTAATATAATACCTCAAAATGTAGTTATCACAGAAAGATATAAAGGGATAAACAAATTAGAGTATAGTCATACAGTGGAATACGACTTAGCAATAAAAAAGGATGAGCTACTGATGCATGAAACATGAATGAATCTCAAAAGCATTATAAAAACATCTAAACGATGTATACTATGTGATTCCATCCTGGAAAAACAAACTATAGGGACAGAAAACAAATCAGTAGACGACGAGATCCGGGAGGTGCTTGATCACAAAGAGGCAAGAGGAAAATTTGGGCTGATGGAAATGTTCTCTGCCTTCATTGTGGTGGTGGTTATATGACTGCATATCTTTGTCAAAATTCATAGAACTGTGTATATAAAAGGGTAAATTTTACTTATAAATTATGCCTCAATAAACCTGACAAAAAGTATAGACCTAATGTTATTATATATGACACTCTTTGATAATTTACTTAAAATAGTCTTATTTTGAGGTGATTGTCGGTATTTCACAGAAGTCATGAAAGCAATTTTCCTGTTAACAAAGTCTAAAACATCTTTAACTGTAACTTTTCAAAGATAGATAACCCTAACTATCCATTTTCTTTTTTCTTTCTTTTATTTTTTTGTGAAGAACATTTTGTATAGGCCTAAAAAGGAGGAGAGAAATGAGATATGGGCCATAATTTGGAAGAATCACATGGAGCTAAAAAGTGGAAAGGGATAAGGCCTGGCTGGTTTGGCTCAGCGGTTAGAGTGTCGGCCTGCGGTCCATAGAGACCCGGGTTCGGTTCCCGCTAAGGGCACATGCCTCGGTTGGGGTTTGTCCCTGGGTCGTGCGGGTGGCAAGCACTCGATGTGTCCCTTGCACGTCGATGTCTCTCTCTCTCTTTCTCTTCCTCTCTCTCCCTCCTACTCTATCTGAAAAAAAAAAAAAAGAAAAAATGTCCTCGAGTGAGGATAAAAAAAAACCAAAAACTGGAAAGGGATGAAATGTGAGATTTCTTGTATTAAAGGTATTTAAACTATCTTTATACTACAAGATCTGAATGATTAAAATGTGATCTTACATTTTCAAGGTATATAAATAGTATCCAAGAATTAGATAGCTGCTTATCTTTATAGACCATTTCCTTGTTTGGTTCTCTCTGTCACAGTTCATATCACTGAGTTGTTATATGCTGGCTTTCATGTCTTCCCATTCATTCATTCATTCATTCAACCAATTTTTCATGCACTTAATAATTGTTTAATGAACATCTCTATATGCCAGACATTGGGGATGCAAGGGTGAGTAAAACACAGGAGAGCCCTGCCCTTTTCCTTATACTCTAGAGATGAGCGAGACCAAACATGTGGACATGACGGAAAATCTCATGAAAAAAGAACATGGTGATGGGGTATAGAATGACTTTGCAAGTGGGCAGAATACTTTGGATAGAGTGGTGAGGGGATCCGAGGAGACAACATTTGTACTGACAGCTCTGGGAAGTGAGTGATGAACCAGGAGTCAGCCCAGAAGAGATGTATGAGAAGAGTATTCCAGGCAGCATAGAGAACAATAAGAACAAAGGCCCGAGGCAGACGTGCAGGAGGGCTCCCCACATGGTTCGAATGCAGTGAACAAGTCCTAGATGGAGACCTGGGGCACTTTAATACCTAGAGGCGGAGTAAGGGGAGAAGTGACCCCGAAGAAACTCCAGTGACATAGGAGGAAACAAGAGTGCATGGTAATGGAAGACAGCAACAGAATGTGGTTTAAATAGGAGGAAATGTTCATCTCTGCAAATCCTACAGAGAGGTCAAAGTAGAGAGGACTTGAAATTGCCATTGTATTGGCATGGTGAAGTCATTGGTGACAGATTTGATGAACATCATTTCAGTACATGGGAGGAACACATGATTGGAGTTGGCTGAACAGAGAAAAAGAAGTGAGAAGCAGAGAGGGCAAGTATAGGCAATTGTTGACAAGTCTCACCTTAAAAGGAAGCTGAGATACAGGACAGGCGCTGGCAAGGATATGGACTATAGGGAGAGTCTACTTAAGGACAACACTAAGGTATGATGTGGAAAAGGGGGCAGATAATGGAAGGAGTGAAGTCCTCAGGCAGGCAGTCCTGACATCCAGAGCCCTAGAGAGAGGAGGGTATGAGTCTCCTGGTGAAAGGAGAGAGGACGTGCATCCAGTTAGGTAGGTTAGTAGATCTGATAGTGAGACATGAGGTAATTATTGCCTGATGGCTTCTGTTCCTTCAGTGAAGCATGAAGTGAAATCACCACTTGAAAATGAGAGGCA